CTAATTTTCTTTTTTCTTTTCTTTTTAATAATTATGAGACACAATAGCATTACCAAATAAATTTTTCATCTATTGTGAGACTTTTCCTAGGGCTGTTAAGCAATGCTTATTCCCTTTTAAGGTTCTAGTGTCAAGGCAATGTTTCATTAAATTTTAACTGGGGAACCAATGAATTCATTGAGCTTCCTTACTGAGATAACTGAGGGGTTGCTGAGGTGTATGTATGACCCGAGGGTATGCACACTGGAAAGCCTTTACCCAGCATGGGTCATGCCTTCTCTTCCTAGCCATCCTCAGAGTGTATGCTTTAGCCCTCCCCAAATCCAGGAAGCCATGTGTGATTAGGGTCAAATTACATACAGTTGGCTGGGAAGAGTGGCTGACAATCCAATGAGGGTCCAATTACCCTGCTTGGCCCTCCTTTAATGAATGAGCACACCCGTCAACAAGTTGTAAGATGTTTAGCAATCAGGCTCAGCTGAAATCGTAATGATGGTAGTTATTTAATGCAGAAGGGACTGCTGTATAGTATCTTCTTATTAAAAGGACCACCATGTGAAGGCAGGATCTGGGGGCTCTCAGGCAGTCTTCTGCATTCTCAGCCCCTCTGCCAGAGGGTGGCCAGAACTTGGCACTCTCTGGTGCTCTGCTGAGATGAGAGCCGCTACACCAACAGAGGTCTGAACCCCAAGATCATAATTTTAAACTTCATAGTTCTTGCCACATTTTTTCCTGGTGAAAATAAATGTGATTATTGACTCTTGAATGAGAATCAGAAATGCCCATCCTTGTAATCAGTGATGGAACTATAAAGGAACACATAAAAAGTGACACAACAGTTTTTAATGTCTTTTTCTGTTTGTATTATAGAAGTAAATAATAAGTCTGCCCAAGTTCTACTGCTTTTAGTGATTCCTGGACACTTGATTTTCCTCTACACTATTCACTTGATGAAGAGTGGCCACACTTCTCTGACTGTAATCTTCGTAGTTGTGTACTTGTTTGCTGCTGTCCTGCAGGTAAGATTTAAGAACCTCTTGAAGTCTCTTCTATGCTCAAACTGTTGGGAAACTGTCATGCTGTCCATCGAAAGTACATGGCATGTTTCCCATTTTAGAAGGAGGCTGGGGGCCTTTACATTGATTTGACCTAAAACCCAGTAAGCTCACAGCCGCATCTGCTGTAGCCTGGTCTTCAGAAGCTTTGTATCTCTGGGATCTCCTGCCATTTTTTTTTTTTTTTTGGTTCTCCTGTTTTGTGTGAACATGCCTCCCAGTAGATTCTTGAGAAGTAGGGGAAGATATACAGTGTTTTGTCCCATCTTCTATAGTAATAGGTTGATGGATATAGAATTGTTTCTTTGGGATTTTTTAAGACAATTCTTTGTTTACCTTCCAACCTCTTTGTATTCGAGGAAGAACAGACACCATCTCATTCCTGGTCTCAGTATGTGACCTTTTTTTTCAATCTATGCATGTGTACATGCATTCATGTATATGAGTATGGTCACATATGTGTTACAGCATGTGTGAGGAGATCAGAGGACAACCTTGGAGGTTGGTCCTCCCCTTCCACCTTGTTTGACACAGAATCTCTTGTATGCCACACTAGCTGCCAAGTGAGCTGCTAGGACTTCTCCTGTCCCTGCCTTCCATCTCACTGTAAGAACACTGGGGTCACACATGTGCTTTTCTGTGTCTAGCTTTATGTGGGTTCTGGGGATCTCAGATCTTCATGATAACAAGTGCTTTATCCACTGAGCCATCTTTCCAACACTGTATTAACTATATTAACTTTTTGGTGTTTTTTGTTGTTGTTGTTGTTGTTGATGTTGTTTGAGACGAGGTTTCCCTGTAGCCCCAGCTGCCCTGGAACTCACCATTTTAATCCAGGCTGGCCTTGATCTCAAGCAATCCACCTGCCTCTGCCTCCCAAATGCTGGGATTAAAGGTGTGTGCTACCATGCCCAGCTCCTATATGTCTTTTAATTTCCTAAACACTTTAAGAGGTGTGCCTTATTTATTTGTTTGTTTATTTAATGGGTATGAATGCTTTGCCTGCATGTATGTAAGTCCATCATATGCATTCAGTGCCTGCAGAGGCCAGAAGGGGGCAACGAATCCCCTGGAACTTGATTTCTGGATGGTTGTTAGCTGCCATGTAGGTGCTCAGGACTGACCCCAGGTCCTCTACAAGAGCAGCCAGTGCTCTTAACCACCAAGTCAAAAGCTGTACTTTTTACTTTGTTCTTGGGAGTTCTTAGTTTCTGCTGATGGACTCTGATGTGGGTGCATTTTGTACATTTTGTATGACCTCATCAGTCTAAAAACTCATGTTCTTTGATTCTGGAACAAAACAAAATATTATTTTTTGATGATTTTTCTTTCCTTTTTTAAGAAAAGAAAAATCATCATATATGGGAAACATGGCACATTATAATGTCCTAAACTCCTCAGTATTTATTAGCCAAAATCAAAACTTGTCATTTAGGTATATTCCTTTAAAACTTACAGATATGTAGCCCAAGCTGGCCTCAAACTCTCAGTGTAAATTGTGACCTTGGCTGGCCTCAAACTAGTGATCCTCTGCCTCCACCTTGTCAATTTTGGGATCATAGTAGTGTGCCACCATATCTGGCTTTCTGGAATCTTACTTGGTTACTGGACTTGCATCAAACTTAAAGAAAAAATTATTTCTTTATGTCTTATCTTTCTATATTTCTTTCCATTTCTAAATATTTTCTGTTGTGTAGAAGGCTTTTAATTTTAAAGTTTAATAACGTTTCTTTTATGTAAACAAAACCTCACCCATGTTCCTGTAAACAAACGTAATGAAACCCATTGAGTCACACACAAAGGTAGGAAAGTAGAAAAGCAGAAAGGGCTGGTTGGGAAGATTCGGGGGAGTGGGAAGGGGACAAGAGAGAACACTGAGGGGTGTGTGATTGAAATGTAATCTGTACATGCATGACAATGTCAGGGTAATCCATTATTATTCAGTTAATGTATCTATGTGTATTAGTTACTTTTCTGTTGTTTTGATAAAACATTAGGACTAAAGTAACTTATAGAAGGACTCACATCTCCAAGCTGGCACAGGAAGTGAGCAAAACAGACTGGAAGTGGGCATGGCTTTGAACTCCTAAAACACACCCCCAGTGACATGTTTTCTCTAGCATGGCCACACCTCCTAAAGGTTCCATGACCCTCCCCAAACAGTGCTGGTAACTGGGGACTGAGAGTCCAAATACTTGGAGCCTAGGGGGGGACACTTAATTCAAACCATCATAATATGCCAACAAAAACATTTTTAAAATGCATGATTGTATAATACATGTACATATTTAAAAATTAAAATTGTATTAAAAGGTTCTACCCACCCAGTTCCTTTTCTGAAAGATCACCACTTTGAAATATTTTAGCTGTTTCTTCTGGTGGTTATCTGAAAGTTTTAAAGGAACATGCCTAAACTTCAAGTGTTGACTTTGACTAATAAATATTAAGGACTTTAGGGATATTATAACGCCTCATGTTTCCCACATACTTATACTACCACCTTTTGTTAAATGAATTATCAGTGTTGGTGTGATTAAGCCTAGTGTTATTATAGAGGCACATGATTTAACCTGGCTATATTTTCTTGTTTTCTGAATTATTTTCTTTGGCATTTGTAATTCTTTCTTTTTTACTTCCATTGTCTTCCGTAAACCCAATCCCCAATGTTTCCAGCTGCTCAGATTTATTTTGGCTTCTTGCTTTTGCTTGTTCAGCTTTGTGGACTTGGTGCCGGCTACCCTGAGAAATCCCAGTGCCCTAAGAGGTGGGTTAGAACAGTGATTTGATGAGATAGCATTTGAATTCGGCCTGCAGAGGGTTTGAGTGGAGGAATGAAGCTAGAGGGCAGGTATGTGGATGTATTCCAGTCAGAAGTAGCTAATGAGAAGAGCTGGCCTTTGTAGTGTTCCTGTATGTTAAGTACTGTACAAGTGATTTTACGTGTGTTCATTTACTTAATTCTCACAAATGATAAGAGAGATTTGCTTGTTGATATGAATCAGTGCTTTCCAAATTGGAGTACATGCAGAAGAATGCAGTGTGTGGGGAGAAAAACTAAAACTTGTTCTTTACCTGATTTGCTTATTATATTTTATTATATATTATTATATGTACTTATATTGTATATTATTGTAATAGTATATATTACAAATTATTATAACATAATATTATGTATTATATTTGCTAAGTATATTTTACTATTTTTATAATTGCTTAATAATAAACATATTAGCACAGTGGTTAATAAGCATGCTCAAACATTTTCTACTGAGTCAGCTGCATAATGTAAAATTTTAGATTATCGAGTTAATACATAAAGTGGGAAAGCACAGAGCTTATGCTAGAAGGAAGATGAATACAGTATCTGCAGATGGAATAGGTGAGATCAGCTCAGAGGAGATTAGGCTTTGTATAGACAGGTCTTAAATGCTAAGTAAAGGAGATTAGAATCGATTCTTAAAATAGCAACACCTTTACCACTTAATTGAGACTTCTAAACTTCTCTACGATGCCTTCTAGTCTTCTGATTTTCCTAAAAGTCACCTATTAAATTATTTATTTTTTATTTGTTCAATAAATCTTCCTTCTATTCGAGGCAGAGGTAGCTTTTAAGTCCCTAGAGCAGTAAATTCAAGCGTTATTGTCAAGGCCTTGTGGTCTGGCGGGAAGGCCGCTACCTGAACAAATAATTGTAATATAAATGCTGGCTCTGTGTACGGTGCTTTCAGAGCCCGGAAGGGAGAGCAGCCAACTGCCTGGGGAGTTGTATTTTTCTGCTGTTCTGTAGACACAAAATTTGTTTCAAATGCTTTTTGCTCCTGGCTACTTGTATTGCTTGTGAGGTGGTCATTCGTTGTCATTTATATTTGGGGCTCTTCTTTGCATGTTGTGAAAAGATGCTCTCGGCCACATTGAGGGAAATTCCAGACTGGCCTGGTCTGCTGTGCAGCACAGCGTTTCTGGAGCAGGTTCCCGATCACAGCCCTTGCTGTTTGCCTCATGGATGCGCTCTGTTCCCTTAGGGTTCTGTGCCAGTGTAATATCCTGCGTGGTTTCATTCAAGTTGATGAAAAAATTGAAGTCATTTTTCTGAGATTATTTAAAAAATGGATTTCATTCGTTCCTTACAGTATGTAAGAACACATCTTTTTTTGTAACCTGTATTAGTCAATTTTCTGTTGCTATGATAAAACACCATGGCTAAGGCAATTTACAGAAGAGTTGATTTGGCTCATGGTTCCAGAGGGTTAAGAGTCCATCAGAGTGGGGAGGCATGGTGGCAGAGGGGGCCAGTGCAGAAAATTGAGAGCTCACATCTTCAAGCTGGCACAGGAAGCAGGGTAAGACAGACTGGAAGTGGGCGTGGCTATGAACTCTCAAAGTTCGCCCCCAGTGACATGCTTCCCCCAGCATGGCCACACCTCCTAAAGGTTCCATGGCCCTCCCCAAACAGCACCGGGAACTTGGGACCAAATGTCCAAATACTTGGAGCCCTTGGGGAACATCTCATTCAAACCACTGCATGACCTTTGGCCTAAGTCCTTACCAGGGACTGAAAAACTGGAGTTAAGGAATGAGTAATCTGTGCGTCTCGATTGTCCCTTCTGCATAGTGGAAGGAGTGGTAGTGTTCACGTCATAGATGTTTTGAAGATGAAATCAGTTACTTACCTAGCTTGCAGCATGGAGGTATGACGTAAGACTAAGTTGATGCTGTCGTTAGTAAACATGGAGTAGAAGTGGTTTGCCTCTGAATGACAACTGCAGAGTTTTCGTGTTGATTGATTTTTTCTCTGTATCTTAGAGGCTTCATTTTACTTTTTTTTAATCTTTGTGTGTGTTCATGTGTGTAGGTGTGTGCGCGTGTCAACCTCTAGCATCCACTTATTTTTTAGGGTGTCTTTCTGAACCTGGAACTCGCTGGTTTGACTGGCATGCAGGCACACACTGCTGCACTGGGCTTTT